GGAAATGCTAGCAAATTCGAATGACGAGGTGGAAAAGCTAAGGCAACAGATTGCGCAACTCAGTCCACGGGGCAGCCCGCGCGAAGAGATTGCAGACAATCCCATTGCTAACGACAAGCGAAACAACCTCGGCCAAGAGCTGTCGCGAGCCAACTCTTCCGAACTGCATGTCCATCACCACTTCCACGCGCCGCCTGCAGGGCCAGGACATCTGCGAGTCTCAAGCCAGCCATTACGCAGGCCAAAGAAGAAGCGGCACTCTCTCACCGCAGGTCACTTTACGCCACCTTCTGGCGCGCGGACACCACAGCGATCATCAATCTCAGGCATGCCACAAACACCTTCTTCAGCTGCCACTATCCTGTCTCAGACACAAGCCACCATACCACCAACAAGGCATCCACGATGGTCCATGCAGTCAGAGCGGACTATATCTTCGATTCCCAGCTCGCCGCAGTCATACCAGCCGTCGGTGTTTGACCGAGGCTTCAGCGATGTGGATGCTAACTCGTCACGACCTACCACACCAGACAGCGACTTCCCGGAGTCGCCCATGTGGTCGGCTGTACAAGCGAAACGAAACCCTTACCGCAACTCGACAACTCCTTCATTCTTTAGCCAGTACGAACTTACGCCGCTTGACCCGCCGTCTGAGAACGGCGAAAGCAGCGAGGCCGATCGTTCGCTTCCGAACGACAAACCAATGGTCGCGGTCGCACACCACGCCATACCCGAAGAAACACCTCAGGATCTCGAATCACCTGATCAAAGCACACACGATTTGCGCAAAACCTTCATCGACGACACGAACCTCCCGCTGCAAAACGCCCACAACATCTACGCCCGCCAACCACTCCGCCGCACAGCAAGTCAGGAATCGCTCCTCTCTGTGTCCGGCATGGATATCCACACGCTGCAATCGCGGCCAGCGCAACTCCTCACCTCCGCCCTCTCTTCCCAACCCATCGTCAGTGCGACCGTCGCACACGCCGCTCGGCCTGCGCTCCTCCAACGTGGCGGCTCAGACCGCAGTCGCAGCTTACTGAGCGGCATGGCAGCAGACCAGCGAGCACCACCCACGCCGGTCCGAGAGGGCTTCGGCAGGAAGGTCGGAGGCTGGGTCTGGGGACGCTGGGGCGGTGCTACGCCCACGTCACCAGGCGGCGACACGATCGAGGCGGCTAAGCCTAAGCCCAGCGAAGAGGCGAAGAAAGCAGCGCCGCCACTGCCACCACAGGCAAAGGTGAAGGTGGAAAGCAAAGAGAGGCCGAGGTTGCGGCCGCCGGGGATTAATCAGTCCGGCCCGATCTTGGGGTTTTTCTCTGAGCCGGTGCTTTCGAGGACGCCGGTGTTGAAGACGTTGGATGAGGAGGGTTTGAGGGAGAGCTTGATGGAGTAGGGATAGGAAGAGGAGGATAGGAGAGGCTGCGAATGAGAGAGGTGGATGGGCCTCTTGCTTTTATTGATGGGTTCTATGATACTATGATTGGATGAACAATGCGATGGATTAGGACCGGGACATGCAACAGTACAAGAGCGGAGCGGAGCGGAGCCGCGGATCTGGATAGCGTTGATATTTGATACCCCACCGGCCTTTTGATTACCTGGTTTTTGGCTTAATGTAGTAATAATAACAAGCTTATCAAATACAGTACTTCAGAGCTTACCGTATGTGACATCGTTTCTACTCGGTGCCATCCCATCTATTCAATGTGCTGACGCCAGGCTCGTGGCACTCGGGTTAGGGAAGACGCAGGCGATGATGTCCATGCGACTTACTGCATGAGCATGAACGCCCAGCTTCGGTCTCTCAGCCTATTCCAAACTCTGTGCTCCAATCGCAATTCGTCCATGACATAAGTTATGGGCCTCTCACAATGACACCACTCTGCATAAGAAACACATGCCTTATTGCAACCGTTCTGGGTCGGGGATTGGCTGACATGGATCTGTTCCGAGCCGTGTGGTGGTGGCAAAAAATGCCCAATCCCGCTCCCGCTCCGCCTTCCATGTCTTTCCGCCCCGTCGATTATAACAGACGCACTCGTTGCGAGCAAACACCACATGCAGCTTGCACGATTGGCACATGTGGTGCGCAGATCTTAGCCGTAAGGCCTCGGAGCCGCAGTCCATACGAACTGTATCACAGGAAGAGGAGGTGCAATGCGGGCCTGTGGCAATTCGGGATGTGAGCTTTGTATGGCGAAGCTTACGAGAGGCTGGGAGGAGCATTCGGAGGTCCTGGCATCCTTCCGGAATGCAGCCCTTGGCGTACCTATATGTACGGTACGGTATCGCTGGGGGGAAGGTTGAAGCACGTATGGGGGCGAATTTCATCATCCGTGTGCAGCAAGTGGTAACTTACCTTAAGGTAACTAACGATATGTAAGATACATACTGCATGTACATACTGTATGTAGTACGCAGCCGCGGCATCTCAACAGCAGATATACGAGAGCGTGGGCGAATAACGTTAGACGAAACACGGCTGGCTCATGCTTTGGGGATGAAGCAGGCTAGATGCTTGGCTCTAAGCCTCATGCATGCTAGGGTCTCAGAATAACCCACGGAAGGCACGCCTGTAACTCGCCAGAGAGTCGCGCCTTCTTCTTCGGAACCCCGCATCGTCTTGGAACGTCCGCTCCCTGTCCACCTGCATGCCTGCACACAGTGCACAGGTCAACGGCGTGCATGCAGGGCCAATGAACGCATCATGTATGTACCGCAGCCCGCATTCCTGCACCACCTACCCTACAAGCCTGCAACGCCAGTTTAGCTCACAGCAGCTTCCGTATCGCAGACCGACCGCCTGACTTCTTCCTGTCCACGTCGTTGTCCGCGTCGTCGAACACGTACGCAAGCCAGAAGCAGAAGGATAGGTATAGACGTAGTTGTATGAGATGATGGACAAGAGAGACGACGACCATGACAGTCCTCAAAACGCCAACAATGGTCCCTCGCCCGCCCAGATCTCCAGCTGGATCGCCCAGCACCAGCAGCCTCCTCCGCCTCCGGTAGCGAGCCCGACGAGTAGCGATGACCCGGATGATGTTTCCGCTTCGGCGACCAGCGTTTCTGATGCTGATGGCGATGCAACAGCAACTCCGGCCAGCAGTGGCACTACACAGGCTGTCGCTGCTGCTGCTTCTGACGCTTCCACATCGACTTCCATTGCCCTCGACAGTCCCACAACCTTGACGACTAGCATTTCGCTGGGGAATGCGGCCACCCCATCGTCCTCCATATCAGGATACAGCGGCGCCACAGTCACCGGAGACTCTGCCGAGTCTGTTATAGTATCATCAGCTGGCAGTGACACTTCCACCACACCCACGCCCTCAAACGCAAGCATGCATTCCTCAGACTCAATCGACAGACAAACCACCGCTACCACCGCCGCCTACGAGACCCTCAACACACCCGCCTCTCTCAGTCTCGCCGCCCTCCAATCCACGCAACCCATAACCGGCACGCTCGAACCGGCCTGGACCGCCCTACCACGACCGACCCACCCTCCACCACCCAACAGCGGCTCCGGCTCAGCGCCCAACGGACCGTACCCCGACTTCGGCCCACCGCCGCACTTCCACGGGCTCTCGCACGGCGCGCTCGTAGCAGCGATCCTGCTCCCTTTAGTCGTCTTCCTCGCGCTCCTTTGCCTCCTTCTCGCCTTCCTCCTGCTGCGCAAGAAACGGCGCGCCCGTGACCAGCCCTTCCACCCGATCACCGAGGTCAAGGAGAAGCTGTTCCCGCACCGCTTAAGCCAGAGTAAAAGTTCCATGGCCGCGAGCCCGATCGCGGTCAGGGTGAGTTCGAACCGGCTGAGCATGGTTCAAGATGGCGGAACCGCTATTGCCAGCGGGCTTGGTGGTGGTGGTGTTGGAGCTGGTGTCGCTGCTGGAGCCGCGATCCCAGAGATAACAGCGCTGCGCAACCCGACCTATTTCACCGGTCTGGACACCGACGCCGTCTCCGAGCGCTCGCACGTCAGTCAGACAAACCTGTACGCCTACCCGCGCGCGAGCGGCGAGGAGCCGCCGCCCCCGTATCGGCCCAGGAGTGTCGCGTTACCGGCCGCGGTGGCCAGGCAGGGGAGCAGGGAGACGTTGCCTGGCGATGGGGAGAGGCGGGTCAGCATGTTGATGGTGATGAATCCGAGCGCGAGCACGGGCAGTTTCGACACTTCGCCCTTTGCGGATCCGGAAGGAGAAGAGGTAGACGGTGCAATTGCGGGTGTCTCGGACGGAATGAGATACGGCGAAGGAGCACAACCAGCGTCGCGCAGGACGCCTTCGAATCGCAGTTTCACCTCCACCCTGTACTCCAGCAACGCGAGCGTGCGGTCGGCACGGCCGGCGCGGTTGAGTATCGCGAGCGCGCACGTGCTCGATAGGCCGTCGGTTGAGGATCCGTTCAGGGATCCTGAGGGCGGGCTGGGCATGGGAGGGTCTGAGAAGAGTGGATTTGGGCTGCGGCCTTATGAGGGGACGTAGAGGGGATTGGGCGGGTTTTTTTCTTTTTGGCTATGGTTTGGGATGGGATTTTGGTTGGCGATATGTGACATGATAGGGAAGGTAACTTAACTTAGCAGGGAAGGCGTTTTTTCTTTTAGGTCTGGGAGAAGGGTGGGACTGGGTAAAACGATGGCTGGGGATAGGCGTTGTGTGGGCTTTTCTTGTGCTCTTGGTGGATTTGTTTGGGGGAAGGATTGGAAGGATATGTATGGGTTATGAAATCTTTGCCAGATGAAGCAACTACCTACCTTATTATTGAAGAAACCGACCTTGACTTGCCTTGGCCTGCTGAGAGACTGTCTGTGGTGCTGTAACGATGTACGAATTTTAAAATGTGGAGACGAAGCGTTTCGTCAGGGAAACCCATGACTGTTCGTCTCTGTTTGTCGAAAAGTAGAAGCGTGATATATCCGTGGACGGTGCGTGATGCGCGTGGGTGAGAAGAATCATCCGTTGACGAGCAAAGAGTGCAAAAAGATATGATCTTGAACCGGACCGGATTTGAACCAGCAACCTTCGGGTGATTCCATCTCTGGAATCCGACGCGCTACCGTTGCGCCACCAGTCCCTTCTCATGTCAGGTAGTACAAAACACTGAGAATATATTGCTGGAATTTCATCTCTGCGCCATCGGAATGAAGCCAGGACAGCTCTACTCCAGACCCTAGTCAAGCTGGTATCATCTACACCGTAACCTCGGCATCGGTCATTAATATACATGTAGCCACTGAATGCATTCCATTACCATCAAATTCGTAACCCAGCTAGCATAAAAGCCTCTTCTCTGCACCCTCAACTCAATCAACTGAATCAAGCCAACATCATCTACATCTTAACCTCAGCCGGCACACTAATCTCCAGCACATCCACCCCCTTCTGGATCTCACTCTTCCTCGGCATCTTCCCCCTACGCATGAGCTCCGCACTCTGCGTCATATACGGATCCTTCATCATACTCGCGACCGCCAACACCTCCTCGCCCTTAGTATAATACGCCACAAAACTCGGCCCCTTCTCCGCGTCCGTCTCGCCCTGCACGATCACGTCGTCGTACCCGCCAACAGTGTTGCCGCAGTAGCGCAGCTGGGCGCCGAGCGCGGACCAAAAGACGGGGATGAAGGGCTTGGGCGGCGCGGACGGGTTGTTGATTTTGGCCGCCACGCTGCGGCCCGCGTTTTGCGCTACGTCCCAGTGCTCGATCCGGATCGGGCTGCCGTTGCCGCCCGGGCCGTGGTACGGGTAGGTTGCGATGTCGCCGATGGCGTAGACGTTCTTGAGGCCCTCGACTTCGAAGGCCTCGTTTACGCGGACGGAGCCGTCGTCGAGGAGTTTGATCTCCTTGGCCTCCTGCAGGTAGTCGGTCGAGGGCCTGATACCGACGCCCTCGATAACGAGGTCGGCTTCGAGGACTTGACCGCCTTTGAGGTGGACTGCGCCGACCTTGGAGCTGTCTGACTTCGACGGCGTGGCCTTCTCGACACCGGATTCCATGTAGAACTTGACGCCGTTCTTCTCGAGCAAAGCCTTGAAGATGGCGCCGACCTTCTCGCCCATGACTCTGTCCATCGGCTGCTTCTCCATGCCGATAACGTGTACCTCATGTCCCTTACCAGCGAGACAGTTGGCAACTTCCATTCCGATGAAGGAGGAGCCAACAACAACGACCTTCTTGCCGCCATCGCTGCCCGCAGCCTCCATGATGGACTTGGCGTGGACCAACGACCTGAGCACGAAAACATTGCCCAGGTCACCCTTGAGGCCATCCATTGGCAGCCACTTGGGAGTACCGCCAGATGCCATTACCAACTTGCTGTAGTTGTACTCCTTGCCATCTTCAGTAGTGACCTTTCTGCTACCAAAGTCGACGCCTGTCACATTGCTCCATACAAATTCAACGTCACCCTCCTTGTAGAAGACCATCGGTCTCCACACCAACTTGTCTTGCTCAGTAAGGAGAGCCTTAGACAGCTTCGTCCGGTCGATTGGCTGCATGCCTTCACGGGAAACGCAGGTGATTGGACCGGTGAAGCCTCCTCCTCGCAAACCCTCGATGGCACCGAGAGCGCCACTGCCGCTACCGATGATGAGGACGCGGTCGGTGCCCTTGGCTGCCACCTTGATGCTGAGAGGACGCTTGTTCTGCTTGATCTGTTCTTGCTGAGCCTTGATGTATACCGCACCATCTCTCTCCTCGACCGCGAACTTGTGCAGAGGGTCCAGGGCGGGTGCGTCTTCGACGTCACCAGTTGCAATGCTGAAGCATGCTAGGGACTGATCAGCCACAATAGTGCAACCTGTATGCCGGAAAGTACATACCTCCGTGCCATGGGCAGGTAAGTCTACCGTCTCCTGTGACAACGCCTTTTACGAGTGGGGCTCCGTAGTGGGTGCAGTTGGCATTCATAGCATGGATCTGGTCTTTGACCTTCAAGAGAAGGACCTTGCCGCCCTCAATGCCTTCGACCTCGCATTCCTGCTTTTGGCCGTTCTTCAGCTCGATACTGCTCAAACCCTTGAGCTTGAATTCCGTCGCCATTCTGCGGATGCCGGTGCTGAATGCTGCTTTGGTTCGTAGTTGTAGTTGTAGTCTCGAAGCAGACGTGAGGGTTTGGCGGAGAAAGAGTGATGGTAGAGGGAGCATTAGCTGGTCATGTACTGTACAAGCAGAACAGAGACTAATGGAGGGAGAAGGTGGGATGGATGTACTGTGGGAGCTGTTTCCTATGTAACCGGAAAGTACCTGCTGCCGTAGATCGATGATTAATGACCCTCCGAGTGGGGACGATTGGCTGATGTGATCCTGGTCGACGTCACTGCTGACCTCTCCCGTCTCCCGTCCCGATCCCCCTCGCTGTTCCCGACTGCCGGCTGCGGGACGGGTACGAATCGATAGCACGGACGAAACCCCCGCGCCCTATGAACGGCTACTTTCGACATGAGCTGTACATCTAAACAAATGAGTCAGAAACAAACTTGCCCACTATATATACAGTGCTCGCTGGAGCTGTGAGAAGAGTGTATAAGGTTAATTCGATCTAGACCTCACTACTCAGCTTCAATTGGCCATCAATTGCGTCTCAAAGCCCAGAATGGCCCGTTCGTCCAAGCTTCTCTCTACCCAGCACCCAAGCACTAAAAACTGACGCAACAAACATAGAACACAGCACATTCCCCTCCGACCTGCCAGTCCCCGAAGATGACGGCGCATGTTCCCATCTACCGGGCAAAAGCCTCCCTCCCATCTCCCTATCCTCGACGTCCGGAAGCAGCACCGCAATCTCCATCCTGTCCGGCCTCGTGATCTTCTTCTGCTACCCGCGCACCGGCGCCCCAGGCGAGACTGTACCAGACAACTGGAACGCGATCCCCGGCGCTCGCGGTTGCACGCCTCAGGCATGCAGTTTCCGCGACGCTGCGGACGAGTTGCTCGAGCTGGGCGTGAGCTACATCTTCGGTGTCAGCACGCAGAATACCGAGTACCAGCGGGAAGCGAAGGAGAGGCTGCATTTGCCGTATCAGTTGTTGAGCGACGAGGCGCTGGAGCTGCAAGAAGGACTGGGGTTGCCGACTTTTGAGTGGGAGGGGAAGAAGGTGCTGAAGAGGGTTACACTTGCGGTTGTGGATGGTAAGATTGAGAAGGTCTGGTATCCTGTGTTTCCACCGGACAAGAGTGCGGATCAGGTGTTGCAATGGCTGAAGACGGAGTGGAAAGGAAGGACGGGTACGTCGACGGATGCCGAGAGTGATATGCAGAGGAACTTTCAGAAAAGGTAGTTTAGATTTGCCTGTGCGATCTGAACTTCGATTGAGCCGCTCTATGATGGGTTCGCTGGAACCCTTCTCAGCGGTACTTGACTGCACAGCTTCCTGAGCCGTATCCCGCAGCTGTCACCGCTCCATAGTTCACATCGAGCAAGCGACGCAACATGCGCCACGACAACCTCAATACCACACCCGCACTGATATCCCGTCCATGCTCTTGTCGCAACCGTTGCTAAACCCAAACAATGCCCTTCCTCAATCCTCCTTCCTTTTCTCCGCCTCCAACGCCGCCAAATCCACCCCCGTGCTCTCCAAAAAATCCTGCACCGTCTGCACCACAATCTGATGATCCTCCTCCTGCTTCAACCCACTGACGACAATCACCGCGACCACGCCCTCCACCCCCTTCACCCTGACCGGAAACCCACCGCCATGAATCGCATACTCGCCCGCCCTCTGCCCCAGCCCATACTTCGCCGCGAACGCCACCTCGTCGCCCGCAAACTTGTTATGCATGAACCACGTCGAGTTTCCGAACCGCAGCACCGTGTTTCGCTTGCGCGACACCCAGGCGTCGTTGTCGGGCGTCGTGCCAGATTTGGTGGTCGTGTAGAAGAGCAGCTGGTTGCTGTTGGCGAGTGAAATGGAGACGACGGTTGGGTTTGTGAAGGCGAGGAGGCGTGCGCGCAGGAGGGTGCCGATGGCCCAGGCCGTGTCGGCTGTGAAGGTGGGAAAGGTGAGGGAGCTGTCGATTGCCTGGATTGCTTTTAGGTCGCGGGGAGGCGAGGCGAGAGTTATTAATTCGGCAGACATGGTGGATGATGGTGTACTACTTTGAACGGGATTGAGTAATTAGAGAGCGGTAAGGTGTACCGTTCTGACTGTATTCGTGGTTGTGGTATCTGGTGGTCGTCATGCTTGGGGATGGCAGGGGTCAGTGCTTCACCGCCTGCGGTCCCTACCGAATTGCGGGGCAGAAAATCACTCCCGAGCTGGAAATTCTGGGCCGCAACCATCAGCAAGGACCTTACCACACGCGCATATTGCAGCACTTCCAAATGGCTCCTGCAAGCAAGAGGAAGGCGGACGACGACTTCGTCTTCACAATCTCGGATGACGAGGCGGGTTTCCCGGACGAGGAGGTCGAGGAGGAAGAATCGGCCGTGAACGAGAAAAAGCGCAAGCGCGAGGGTGGCGGCAAGAAGTCGAAGAAGAGGAGAAAGGGCCAGAAGGAGCAGGAGGACGAGGATGAAGCGCCTGCCGGACAAGACGACGGCGCTATTGATCCGGACTTTGAGTTCCAACTTGCAGACGGTACCGCTGCGTTGGAGGACTTTGACGGCTGGATGACGAATGGGACTGGAGGCAAGATCGTTAAGAGGGCTGTGGATATCGACGAGATCATCGCAAGGAGACTCAAGCCGCAGGAGGACGGTGTTGAGAAGTCTGTTAATGGCTCTACAGAGGATAAAGTGGAGGAGGATGAGTTCGAGGGCTTGGATGAAGAGGAGGGAGATGATGAGTTGCTGGCAGAGGATGCTTTTGGTATGGGCGTCGAAATGGATGGAGAAAATGAGTCAGACGAGGAAGATGAAGATGAGCAGGATGGGTCAGACAGAGAGAGCGGTGATGAGGAAGACGAGGAGGAAGGTTCGGATGACGAAGTCGCTGAGCATGTGCCGCATCCAGACGACGTCGCATCTGACTCGGAAGCCGAACCTGAAGAAGAGGATGCCGTCGAAAAAGAGCGGCAGAGAGCCTTCTTTGCGCCGGAGTCGAACCTCGATGGCGAGAAGGATCCATCAC